TAGTGTTTTTTATTAAATAATACAATTTTTAAAGTATTTGAGAAGCTATTAATATATTAAGCATTCATTTATTATTTTTTCCAAACTATAACCACAATGTTACTGAGTACAATGTTACAGAAAACTTGAGTTATTTCCTCAATAATCAATAGCATTGAGGCCTGGGATTTTTTGGACTTTTTTCTTTTTATTTCTGCTGTTGTCTTTAATGGTTTTATTGTCTATTTTTCACTTCTGTCTTGTTTAAAGATGGACTGGCTGATCTACTCTAGGAAGACAAATCAAAGCATCTAATTTGTCATTGCATGATGCTGCAAATTCCATGTTTATAATGAAAATAATATTCAAAGATTACATGGATAGAGAAGATAATCCCAGAATATTTGAAACATGGGAGGATGCTGAGAATATTGTGCTCCCCCAGAATAAAGGAAAAATGGATATCACAATTCTGGGAACTACCTCTGTATGTGTGAGCATGCTTGCATACATGTACATATCTATGTATCTTTCCAAAAGCCAATAAAAACCATATTTCAAAAGTTATGAGCACAAAGACACCAACTTTCAGGTGACTAGGGCACTAATCTGGATGTTCCGTGTGGGCTAAAATTGTATTGTTGCACCTAATCTCTTTTCTGTAATCTCACGCCCTAGACATGTCACCTTTGCTGCAATGCTCCTGGATGGTACCTGCACTGTATGGTCTAAGGATAAAATGACAAAGAGTAGAAAAGGCACCCGCAGGCCGCCAGAAACTTACAGATCCTGGGAGAGAGCAGAGCCATCCTCCCACACCCAGGCACCAAGCGTTTCATTATAAGAGAGTCCAATCCAGTAAAAGAAATCATTAGATTTCAAAAAATCCTGCTTGGAAACAGAGACAGGCATATTAACCTAATTTTCATCTACTCAATGACTAATGTGTGTTAGACTTGGCCTGTCAATCACACAAACCAAAATCCTCTTTAACTTCTAATTTAGAAGGTACAGTCACAGAGCTCCTCTGTCTGGTATATCAGGCCCGTTCATTTATGGAGTTAAAAATACACAAAACCTCACTTCACTATGGACTGAAAAGGTTATAAAGGCAGTTCGAGTTTCACGGAACACTTTCTTCACAGGGATCACCACTAATGATCCAAATCAACACTATCTTGATATGTCATGGATAAAATTAACTATATATTCAGCACACGTTCTGCATACAATTAGAGAAATTTTCACTTTTTCTTATGAACTGGATAATTTTTATAGTAATATCCTCTATAGTGGTTCCACACTATATCTCAAAGACATGACAGAAAGTGCATGATTACAAAAGAAATTATAAATTCAATTAAAAGAAGCAAAAATGACAGTTGTTTAGTTGGTTCCTTGAATAAAATGAGTAAAAGTAGTCATCTAGCATTTCTTCTTTGAAGTCTCACTGAAAAGTTTCTTGCATTTTATTTAACATCTTGATTTTTATCCCTAAGGTGTAAATCTTTGAGGAACCTTCTGTGTTTTATGATTGATTCAAGCTACAGGAAATGAGTAAGTCATTTGTTCAAATTTAACCACTTCTTTACTCTCTGA